TATATATACACATATATATGAAAACAGCAAAATGTTAATGGGAGAAAAGTGAGTGATTTTTTTCTTTATATTTTTCAGGTTTTTCAGAATGTTCCACTCTAAGAGCAGAAAGTTGTTTTGATGAAGATAGTTTAGATAGGGAAACTAAGGCACGATGGGTGGTCAGGAAAGCCTTCTGGCTCCAGACACACACACTTCTGCCAGCTGCGCACTGAAAGATACAAGCAGGTGTGTCAGTCATCCCCTTCGTGTTCATCGCTGACCATGACTTAAGGCTCAAGGCAGGGACTGCACATAATCTGCCTCTCCAGGTTGCAGTGCAGCAGCTCCCTCTTGGCTCCAGAGGCCAGCTGTTAGGGAGGAACCCTAGAGGCAGCTGTGTCCAGAAGTGATAGAGCCTACCCAGTCCAAATCTCTGGGTCCTCCCTGATCCACTTCCCTGACAAGGACGTCTGGAACAAAATAAAACAGAAACAAAAACAGAGGTAAGTGAAGGAAAAAGGGAAAAGAGGAGAATGAGAGAAAAGTCTTTCTAGATCAAGCAGTTGGGTTTGATGGGTAACACAGGAGACAGGCAGCAGGCAGGGTGGGGTGATCCAAACGGCAAAGCCAAGGCTTAGAAGTCATAGGTCAAGAGTTCCTGTTACGGCCCGGCATAGTGGCTCATGCCTGTAATCCCAGAATTTGGAGACGCTGAGGCAGGGGGATTGCTTGAGCCCAGGAGTTTGAAACTAGACAATATAGTGAGACCTCATCTCTATAAAAAAAAATTAAAAAAAATTAGCCAGGTATGGTGGCACAGGCCTGTACTCCTAGCTACTCAGGAGATTGAGGCAGAAGGGTTGCCTGAGCCCAGGAGATTGAGGCTATGGTAAGCCGTGATTGTGCCACTGCACTCCAGCCTGGGCAACAGAGTGAAACCCCCAACGCAAAAAATTAAAAAATGAAGAGTTCTTTTTTCACCCACAGCCTATGACTGTCAAATCGAAGGCATGACTTTTTGCTGGGATAGTGTCCCTCTGTGAGAGGCAAGTGTGACCACAAGGATAAGAAGGGTCCCTTGCTCCTGGAAGGGGAGTTGCTAGCACCTCTGCTGGTAACCACAGGAAGGAGCCATTAGTTAGGCCTTCCCATTTATGCCCATTGGGCCCTGATTGCAGAGCACCTTGGTGCCATTGTCAGACTCCTGCTTCCAGATCTGCAGGTGAGGAAATAGCCCCAGTTCAGCAAGGTCACACAGCAAGGCTCCAGGCTGGATCAGCAACTCCTGGTCTGTCCCTGTGTGTGGGAACAGAGCTAGGCCTGGGCTTGGGTGCAGTTGATTCTGAGTGGCCCATTGGACCATGACTAGACCTTCCACAGGTCCCCACCACCCAGGAGGACAGGTATAGATCTGTCCATTGACCTTGGAGCAGAACGGATTTTTTTTTCCCTTGGCACAACAGAACCAAAAAAAAAAAAAAGTATCAGTGGCTTATTGCAATTAAAATTACATACAGCCCTGGCAGCTTTAAAAATTTCCCAATCTGTTTGGAGGCAATTTCTTACCTGCTTTTTGGACAAGGGGAGTCTCTAGCAGTGATTTTAAGGCAAGAATATGAGAGCAATGATGAAAATTTGGGTAATAGAAACGAATAATTCATCTTTTTTTTTTTTTTTTTTGAGTTGGAGTCTCACTGTCACCCAGACTGGAGTGCAGTGGCACGCTCCCAGCCACCACAGCCTCGACCCGCTGGGCTCCGGCGATCCTTCCGCCTCAGCCTTCCAAGTAGCTGGAACTACAGGTGCATGCTAGCACACCCGGCTAATTTTTGATTTATTGTAGAGATGAGGTCTCGCCAAGTTGCCCAGGCGGGTCTCGAACTTGCGGGCTCAGGCAATTCACTCACCTCAGCCTCCCAAAGCGCGGTATTACAGGCTGAGCCACTGAGCCCAGATGAATAATTCGTCTTTATTCCCTGTCTTTCTAACTTTTTTTTGTAGGTTGCTATTAAAGTTCTGCCAAACCCTTGCGCTGGCATCCGTTGGGCTTTGTGGATTGATTCAGGTTTAGGGTGTACCCCTCTGGGCCTAGCACAGGAGGAGGAAACAACAGAAGAATAAGACTTGGTCTTGGAGTCACTGAATCTAGAGGGGTGTCCTGAATAGGCCAGGTGATAGATTCCGAACCAAATTGTGTGATACAGTCTAGGAGCGCACTCATTTCAAATTAGCACCAATCCCAAACAAAACATAAACTGAATCCTAAAATGTACCCCCTGTCTGTTCACATTGGCCTGGGCTGATACATGTGCTGCAGGGGTGATCCTTTACCTGAGAATACGGGAACTATATATACTATATAGGGTGACCACCCACTACCAGGCCTGGGCACTGTGGGTATACATTATTGTCAACCTATAGGCAACAGTACCTAGATCTCTTAAAAATGTATTTGGCAGTGTTTGTATATGTCCTTCCCAGAGGAGAATATAGACCAAAGAAGATATTTTCCAGGACCCAAAATTAACTTCAATGACATCCAAGCTGCTTCTAGCAGGGTCCACCTATAAGCCTCAGATTAACCCCTTGGGTCCACCCCTCATTTGCCAAGCTGCTTCTAGCAGAGTCCACCTATAAGCCTCAGATTAACCCCTTGGGTCCACCCCTCATTTGCCAGATGTATTCCCTTAATTGTCTGATCCACTTTCTTGATAAGGTTTCTTTCTCACATCTTTTGCTCCCCTATTACTGATGTTTGCAAATGCTCTTTCAATTCCAAGTCAGTGTTATTCAAATAAAATCCATTAATAATTTTTTTAATTGTATGTTTCGTATTTACATTTCTATTCTGTATATATCACAGCTCTAGGGGGTAGAGCGGCTGATACTTCTTTGAGTCCCACCATGGTGTCCCAACAAAGCTCAACAATTGTGTCACCATCAAAATAATCGTAAACACCAATCTCAGGATCTAATGATTGTGTGCTGTGGCTTAATTGACTATTATATGAACTCCAGGGTGTGGTGGCCAACACCTCTAATCCCAACACTTTGGGAGGCTGAGGCAGGAGGATCACTTGAGGCCAAGAGCTCAAGACCAGCCTGATCATCATGGCAAAACCCTATTTCTGCAACAACAACAAAAAAAAAGTAAAAATTAGCAGGGCGTGGTGGTACACACCTGTAGTCCCAGCTACTTGGGAGGTTGAGGAAAGAGGATCGCTTGAACCCAGGAGGCAGGAGGCCAAGGCTGCAATGAACTTTGATCATGATACTGCATTCCAGCCTGGGCAGTATCCTGTCTTTAAGTAAATAATGAATGAATGAATGGATAAATAAATAAATAAAATGAACTCCAGTGAACAGTTTCATCAACACTTTGGAAGGCAGGTGGATCAATAACTAATAATAGCCATGACTTGTACCTTAGCCTGAGCCAATTATCCTGGCAACATGGTGAGACCTCTTCTCTACAATAAATCAAAAAATAAGCCGGGTGTGGTAGCACGCACCTGTAGTTCCGGCTACTTGGAAGGCTGAGGCAGAAGGATCACTGGAGCCCAGCAGGCCGAGGCTGGGGTGGCCATGAACATGGGCAACAGAGTAAAATTCCAACTCAAAAATAAAAATAAAAAAATAAAATGATTTTTGAAATATATTGCTCAAACCCACATCCCATGGGCAAAAGGATCACAATCAAAATAGTTCTTAATACTCATAGTAATTTGTAGAGTCAGTGGTAATTCAACAAGATATATGTGTAACAAATATCATCTTTGTGAACAAAACTTACACAAAAAGCATATTTCAAGGCTGAGATCCACATGCTAACTACTCCTAGTCAGATAATATTAACAAAACATGAATTTTCTTTCCATTTATACACTCTTTCCCGAAGTTAATAAATGGTGTGCTTGCTTTGTTGCAAAATTCAGAATTATAAGCTATGCATATCATGTATATAAAGTTAAGTTACATTATGTGCCATAAAGATATATATTTCTTTGTATACATCTCCATTCGAGACAGAAATAAATGATTGAACAAATAATTCTTCATCTGAATGGAAGGGAACACAAAGGT